AGTAGGTGTATGGGGCCCTTTAAGAGGAACTGCCTGGGATTCTGGCTGCCTCCACATCACTCAGCCACACTCTCCACTGGTTTTTATGGCCAAAAGTTATGGAGGCTTCTCTTCCTGGCACTGGAGCCCTGGGCTGAGGCATCTGGTGTGGTGTTGGGACCCCTTGCTCCTCAAGGCAGGAACTCCATGGCAATATATCACTCCCCATTAAGAAAATGCCACACATGGGTGTTGGACCAGCCCATTCTAGGCCTCAGCCCTCCTACCCATCTCAATGTGTCTTCCTCTTTAATTCTCTAGTTGTAGGGCTTTCCTTCAGCCAGTTTTCAGATGGTTCTGAATTATGGTTATTCTGTGGTTTAGTTGTAATTTTGATGTGGTTCTGAGAGAATGTGAGTGTCATGTTTATCTACATCACTATCTTGGCCCCTCCTCTGTGATATACTTTTTTATTGCTTGTCATGCAGCAGCTAGACATGGCATTCCCTAGATCTCCATTTGTGTCTCAGTGATCCCAGATCCAAAGAAAGCTATGAAAGTCCCATATTTTGTTGTGTTTTTTAAAATTTTTATTTAATTTAAATTTTTAATTTTTGCAAGTGGGATATAAAAGAGTTTGGCTCCTCAGAACTAACTGTATCTGCAAAGACCTCTGAGGAGGTAACATTATAAAAAGGGAAAGTGAATCCAGAAGAGGAGGGTACCTCATAACAGCTGATGTTCCATTCACAGACTTCCCCTGTTTTCTTTTTACTCTGGGAAACTCAAATTAGCCTTGAATTAATGCTTAAGAGTGGCAACTTGAAAGTGTGGTTAAATAAAGCTTGGACTAGCAGGCATACCAAATGTGAGTTTGCCCAGCTGCTAGGGCACATGGGAAATTTCAAGAAGACGAATACTTTTATTAAGAATTTCATCAAACAAGGTTTTTTCAGGTATAGTTTCAAAAATGATTATTTATGATTTCTATCAAGCAATTATTCCTTGAAGTGCCTTTTTCTACCACAGGGGTTTTAAAAATTGTAGTAGAAAATGATTGATTTTTAAAAGGCATCTGATGTAACATTTTAGAAGATTTTACTTAATATCCATAACCAACTTGAGAGGAGATACAAAATGAAAGAACTGTAATAGTTAATACTTAATAATGAGTATTTTACAAATTAAAATATTTAAGAGCAACACTAAAAATCATAAGTCTTAATTTATCTCACTAACAGTTTTTCACAGTTCAGTGCTTCATGGGGTTAAGTACCTTCATATAGGTGATCAAGACAACCTAGTCATCTATTTGCAACGGAATTAAAAAAATAGAAAACCTAAGTAGAAAAATCATCTACTTTGATAGCTACAGAGAGAGTCTCCAAAGATGGAAATAGCTTGGAAGAGAAGATAAAAATGAAAAAATTAGGGTGGGGAAAGGGGTCAGGCGATGACAATAAGAATATATGGTGAAGCCCTAGCTGGTTTGGCTCACTGGATAGAGCGTCGAGCTGGAGACTGAAGGGTTCCAGGTTTGATTCCGGTCAAGGACATGTACCTTGGTTGCAGGCACATCCCCAGTAGGAGGTGTGCAGGAGGCAGCTGATCGATGCTTCTCTCTCATTGATGTTTCTAACTCTCTATCCCTCTCCCTTCCTCTCTGTAAAAAATCAATAAAGTATATATATTTTTTTAAAAAAAATATATGATGAAGAATGAGCTAGGGGTGGAGGTGAGGAGGGGGAGAGAGGAGGGCAGTCCTGGGTTCTTCAGAACTATGAAGTGTTGAGCACTGCACATAGCCTGCTGAGGGGTGTTCTGGGCTCTGGGGAAGATCAAGGTCAGCATTATGATAGGAACCCTGTGAACATTGTTAAAGTAAGTACACCTCTCTCTCTCTATTTCATGTAACACCCCCCCCCCCATGTCAGGAAACTAATTAGAAATTCATATTTTGTGTTCTAAAACATGAACATCTTTCTTTTTGTAGGATGATTTTATTATACCAAATGGTATATTTAATTTTATTTGCCTCAGTTTCTGCTGGTAAGCAGAGCTTTATCTTAAGTATGAACTGGAAATAGCTTGTCTCCTGAATTTGATTACAAAACAAGAGGGCATAAGCCCAGGGACAGAAATCACGCCACAGTGCCATACATGTGGGAAAATCTCACACCATCCACTCCAGGGAAGGGAGAAATTAAAATTATTTTATTTATTTTCCTCTTAAGGTTCCAGGGGTTTTCAAAGTAGAAAGGAAAGTGAGATGACAGAGTTTATAGTCATGGGAAATTATGTCTATCTGATAGAAATATTCATTTGTATACCTATATTTATATGTACTAGTAAATTCACATCACATATTTAAATTATATTTAAGAGGATAATTAAAAAAATAACCATATGTCTGGATTTGCCTCATTGATTAGTCAGTTTTCCATAAAACAGTCAGTTTCATGCAAGACATACATACACACACATACATGCAATTTTGGACTGAAAAATATTATGCAAATATTTATACAATCTGACTTTATACATTTCAATAATTTACTGCTGTTAATTCTCCACTTCACATAATGTCCACTACATTTGTTTACAAATTACTTAATCAATATTCAGAAGGATATAACAATACAAGTAAATTTGGCCCTTATGTTTATTCATTACTAGTATTTAAGATGAAAACTGGAGCATTTATTTTTATTTAAGTGTTCTCCATTATTTTTGTAAATTATTATTTTTTTTTCTTTTGTTGGTGTTAATTCTCACCTGAGGATATTTTTTCATTGATTTTTAGGAAGAGTGGAAGAGAGAGGGAAAGACACAGAGAGAAACATCAATGTAAGAGAAACACATGGATTGGTGGCCTCCTGCATGAGCCCTCATCAGGGACCAGGCCAGGTAGGAGCTTGCAAGTAAGGTACATGCCCTTGATCAGAATTGAACCAGGGACCCTTTGGTCTGCAGGCCAACGCTCTAGCGGCTAGAGTCTAGCTAGCCGCTGAGCGAAACCAGCTAGGGCACACATTTATGTTTAAAGTAACGTATATTGTAGTTAATTGCTATTACTGTTGCTAGCATTTTATGCAGAATAAACATTTTTTGGCATATATGTAAAATAGCAGTCTAGATAAAAAGATTTAAAATAAAATACATTTTATTACAGTTAATGATTTAATTTTTCTTTGTGAAAAGATTCTTCTCAGGTTATTATATTTCTTCGTTGTAAAATAATATTGTTATTTCATTGATAAACAAATCAGCGATAACTAAATGGACATACATTGAACAATGGACCCAACATTGCATTCTTTACATATGCATATGGAACACTTACAAAATCTAACCACATACAAGGCTCCAAGGCAAGTCTCAACAAATTTTAAAGAATTAAAATTATGCAGAATATGGTATCAGGTCACAGTGGAATTGAACTAAAAAATAAAAGAGAACTAGAAAATCCCCAAATGTTTAAAAATTAAGTAATACCTTTTTAAATAAATCCAGAACTAAAATATCATTGCTGACATGTACACATAAGAAACTGTTGGACATTGAAATTGGGACTCAAAAAACTGTTGGCCCATAAAGAAACTTATTGCAAACTGATTTCTTTAGTGCCTGGCAGCAATTTAAAGGGACATGATAGAACTCAGTCCCTTCCATTGAATTTAAAGATCTTAAAACATACATTCTTGTTAAATTTAAATAATCAAAAAGGGTGAGATGCCAGAAGCCAATTTTAGCAGGTCATAATTGCAAGAGTTTCATCAAAAGGTTGATGGAACTTGGGGACTCAACAAGGGCTGAGTCACATATGTCGTCACCTGATGGGAATGACTAAAGGCATTTCCCCAAACCTGAAAAGGGATGACTGATTGCTGCCAGACAGCTCAGGGCATCTTAATCTACATGTTATTGACTCCTACTAGCCAAACACCTGAACAGCCATAGGCTAACTCTTCCATTCTGACAGTGGACTGTGTATACTAAACCCTGACCCTTTGAAGTATATATCTCTACCTAGCCTCAGGACAATTTGTGTTACTAAAACGCATGGGGTCCTCAGATGAGGAGAACTTAGTTCCTTTTAGCTAAGCTTCTCTGACCCCCAAATGCCTTTCAAAACTATATTTCGTCACTGGACTCTGAGTTATGCACAGCCCCTTTTCCAGATTGCTGAACCCTTCTTAATGCGGGAACAAGAACCCCAGCAAGTAGGGGTCCAGGGCATTTCTCAGTATAGGTCATCTTCCTTGGCACCTTCCCGATCACTATGGACCTGCTCCTAAACAGGGACACTCCTAGGCCAGCGCCTCTGTAGGAAGGATCACCTGTAGAAAAGAGAACCAGAGTCAGGATTGAAGTTCCACTACCTGAAGAAGGAAAATTCCTAGTCAGTGAACACAGCCATGGGCAGAATTGGGGCATCCTTCTCCCCATCATTCCCTTTCCCTTCCTTCCTTCCATGGTTTGTCTTTTGAGAGTTACTTCACAATTACTGTTCCTTTTTCCAACCCCTGCTCTGCCAGCATCTCTTATCTCTCCCACTTCCAGAGACCTTGCCCTTCATCCTCTCCACCCGCCCCCATGTTCTCTTGGTTCCGAGGATAATTTGGAAGCCATTGGGATCACAAGAACATGATTCAGCTCTCCCATGACCTGATGACGAACTTTACCTGCTCCCTCAGGTTGCAGTCCCAGGTCAAAGTAGGGATCTGCCCTGAATGTCCCTGATGCACAGCCAGGAGGCACCCCACCTCCCGCGCGCAGCCAGTCCCAGGAGAGCAGAAGACACTGCTGGTCTCGCAAGGGAGCATCATGAGGCCAGGCGCCCAGCCAGGGAAAAACTCACCCCAAACCGAACCTCCAACCCGGCGCCCTTTATTTCCTTTCTAAAACGTACCGCTCACTCAGTAACGGAAGTCAGCCCACCGCAGCCCCAGGGCGCCTCTCCATCCTGAGTCGCCCTAAATTGCACCCATTCTCCTCCCCACGCCACTCAAGGGCCTGCGTGTGTGCACGGGAAGGCCCGCTTCTGGGCGCCTGGGCTGCTGCCTACGGGCTGCGGGAGGAGGGAGAGGCGATTGGGCCGGGCGCCACCTCTTCCCCCGCCCGCCCGGCCCGCTGCGCCCGCCCCCGGGGACTCCTCCCCGGGCCCGCACTTGAAAGGCAGGAGCTGGACCCCGCCCTGGCCCTAAGCACTGGCCCCCAATATTCAGGGTCTCAGTCCCCGCGGAGCCGTCCCCTGGCGCGATGGTGGCCGTCTGGCTGGTGCCCGTCGGGCAGAAGCTGCTGCTCTGGGGCGCGCTCAGCGCCGTCTCCCTGGCGGGCGCCACCCTCATCCTGAGCTTCCTGCAGATGATGGCGAGCTATGCGCATAACTGGCTGCAAATGAGGCCCATCCCCACCATTCCGGGCGCCTACCCCTTCCTGGGACACGTGCTGCTCCTGGAGCGAGGAGGAAAAGGTAAGGGACTGCGCGCCCGGGCCAGCTGCATCCCCGCCAGTGGCTGTTGGACCCCTTGCAGGGAACCGCCCGCTTCCCCGCCTGGAGCAGCAGGACTGGAGCTGCAGGCTGCTGGGTGAGGGGCGACTCTATCACCCCTTGGATAATGGGTTCCCCAGTTCTCTCCAGTTTTCATTACACATAAGTGCAGTGTTTCTAAACTCCCGTCCTGCCTTTTCTCTTCTCATTTTCCCAACTCCTGGCTGCTGCCTTCTGAAAACACCGCCTGTAGCCCTAGCTGGCTTGGCTCAGTGGAGAGAGCTATGTATGGCCTGTGGACTGAAGGGTATTGGTTTAATTCAGGTCCAGGGCATATGCGTGGGTTACCAGCTCCATCCCCAGTGCGGAGAGTGCAAGAGGTAGCTGATTAAAGATTCTCTCTCATCATTGATGTTTCTATCTCTCTCTCTCCCTCTCCCTTCCTCTCTGAAATCAATACAAATATATTTAATAAGAAAAACAACAACAAAAACACTGCCCGGTTTTTCTTCTGTCTTTACTGTTAAAGTCCTAAAGCCAGACACAACTTATAACTTTCTCTCTCTCTCTCTCTCTCTCTCTCTCTCTCTCTCTCTCTCTCCCTCCCCCCCCTCTCTCTCCCCTTGTAAGCAATTAGTCTTTTTTATATAATCTGGGACAAGTAATGCACTTGAGACCAGAGCTTCTCCCTGCAGAAATCACAAGACTTGACCACAACTTTCATTCCTCCTTGGCCCTTCTAAGGAGGTTACATTACAAATATGAATTATGATGTTATTCACCAAGGCCTGCCACAAAAGTCATACAGGAAGTTTCAAAACTCTTATTTGTTAGAGTAAATTTTTTAAAAAAATTGAAATCATCTTTTGAAGAGACAGCTTCATGTTATGTTATGATAGGGGTAGAGCGGTCACTTTAAAATTAGAAAGCTTTTAAAAGTACTTAGTGTTTGCATACCCCATGAGGGAGGGTGAGTTAGATCTTAGCACTTGATCTTCCTGTCTGGATAAGTTGAGATGCCCAGAACTGAAAAGATTTGCCCCAAATGACATATTTTAAAATGAGCCCAGAGCTAGAATCCAATCACCCCTCAGTTTAACTGAAGTTTTATAGACTGAACATCAATTTCAAAGCTTAAAGGGTTATTTCTTTTCCACTTTCCTTTCTCCAAATAAAAATAATGCTGTCATTTCAACTTCACAGGAACACATGAGGCCTCATGGGAGAGTGTTACCAAAATACAGAAAATGTTTCTGGCAGAAGAAATCCCAGTAAACTTTTAACCAACCAAATATCAATGCGACTAATGTTGCAAGTGATGCAGCAAATTTTGATATATGAAAACTACATTTGTAAACATCATCATGGGGAACACTAAAGGCAGAGCTAATCTTCCCTTCTACTCAAAGGCTTTATAATATTAAAGAATAATGGTGTAGAAATATAGGCCCCTCCTCCCCAACAGGAAACGGTATACTTTAGAAATCTCATCATAGTCTTTAGGGGGGAATTTTTCTAAGAATTGAAATCTCTAGTGAATAAGATCCATTTCAAAACAAACTGTGCGTTATTGGATTATTTTAAGCAATTCTCCTTATAGTTACTTCTGGAGAAGAGAGCATGGTAACTCATGGGGACTTTTTAATGCATCAACAACTACTGGATCTAAGCATGAGAAGAACCTTTGCTCCTTTTCTGCTTATAATCAAATTGCTTGACTTTGACAAGTTGTTTAAAACTCTTTAACTTAGAGTGCGTTACCCTTTACTTGTAAACGTCACCATATTACAGTTACTTTGAGGATTACATTTAATGCGTGCATTTTCTAGACCATTGTCCAGAACTTGGTTTGAGTCCATTTTTTTCATTGTCAATCATGCACTTATTTGAGGCCCTCCTTTGTGCCCAGCATTGAACTCGTTTTTTCAGTCCTTTTTGTCAACGCCTGTCTTCCCCAGCTGCTCCCTGCCATTGGGCCCACCTGAGGCCTTCAAACCACGGATTTTGATTTCCCTGTCTCGGATTTTGATTTCCCTGTCTCCTCTGTCAGACCAGACCAAAGCAATGTTTATGGCCATGCTACATATATTTCACACTGTTGATCTGACCTAGCTGTTTTAACAGCAATTTAGCCAATGGTTTGACTGAAAGGCATTTTGAATGGGTGTGATGTAATGGTGAAGATGGCACATCGTGTGTCTGGGTGCCTCGGGGACTAAGCCAGGCCTATATCTACCAGCGCTGTGATATTGTGCAACTACTTAGCTGTGCACAACTTCCTCAATTGTTCACTAACTTCTGTGATAGTGCTTCTCATCTGACTGTGGTGAGGCATAAAAGACATAAGCATGGAAAACCTTTAGCTCTGGTCTGATGTTAACTTACCTTCTACAGCAAATAAACATGACAGAATGAATGTCAGCCATTTTAGAAGATTCATTATTAGGTTTTGAGGGGCCCAGATGTGCAAACGCTTTAAACAGTTACTACTGTTTATTCAGTATCACAGGCAATGGACATCCCTGCGCTTTAGCCTCCCTTCCGCTGCACTTTGAGCAGCTTGCCCTGAAGCCCAGGGGTGGGGGAAGCTGAGGGATGGGAGAAGGAGCAGGAATAGTTGTGTATGTGAACATTTCTTGGAATGAAAAAGAGCTGGAAAGTTTAATAGTTGTTTTGTAATGCCATGTCAATCTGTCCGTGGGGCCCAAATTCCCTTGTTAAACAACCCGTCAAAATCTCAGGTGCCGTCTGTATTAGTAGCCTCAGTGCTGTGGGCATTAGTCCTGCTGCTGTCAGGGGGGCATTCCCTCTGCCTAGAAGAAGCCTGGGTACCACATGCCTCCCAGCTAGTCTGCTCTCCTTATCCCTCCCTCCCTGGATTTTGCCAGCAATCTCAGGAGCGTGCCTCATTTCCTAACCTAATTAGAAAGCCAGTCCTCCCGTGACCTCATGTTGTTTGGCTTGGGCCCTGTCTCACCATTGCCAGGTCTTTTCTTGAGGGCTGGACCCTGTACCCCAATCCTTTAGTCACTGTGTTCCCCCACCCCACCCAACCCCCACTCCAGGTTGCACTCACCAATTTAGTGTTACCTGACCTGACCCAGAGTTTTGTCATTGTTTGACCTTTCTGAATGCTGGGCTGCATTCCCCAGATGGGGCCTCCGGGATTTCAATATAGAAAATGTTAACTCCCAAACTTCCCTCCCTACTTCAATGTTGTTGGGATTACTGTTCACCATTTCCATATACTCACTATAAGGACCAGCCATAAAACAGGACCAGGGCCCGTAACCTTGGCTGCATCGAATCCCCGTCTTTTTCCCACCCCCAGAAGCTTCCTGTGGCCTCGGAATACCAAGTTCTTCACAGATCCCACACACCTCAGTGTTATTGTCCTAAAATATAACTCTGTGGTTCTAGTACTCATCAGGAACTTTCAGATACTGCCTAGAGACCATAAAAGATAATCCAACTTCTTTAGCCTTCCAGCACCCCAAGCTCATCTATCAATGTTTTTTCCTGTGCTTTGGCTAAATCTATAGGCAATTTTCAGACCTCCCTGCCTCTGCTCCACTATTTCTGCTGCTTGGTTTACCCTAACTTCCTTTTTCTTCCTATAAAAAGCCAACTCATTCTGTTATGCTCAAATGCCATCTCTGTCTTAGAATTTCTCCTGTCCTTTCAATGAAAATCGATAACTCCTCATACTTAACCTTCTAATTTAACACCCATTTCATTTGATCTGATACAGCGACCATCTCCTCTGACTAATACATTCCTTGAGAGTAGGGATCTGGTCCTTAGGTGGGACATGTTCCTTGCCTGAAGAATGCATGTGTGAGCATGTTGTGTTTTCAAGAAGAAGTAAGGTACTTCCATCATATTCATTCTTCTATCTGGACATGTCAAAGGAAACTGATTTGATTGATTACCAACTTTCTCTATCTATTCCCTACATTTTCCTCAGTGCTTCTCAGTAATTCTTTTTAGCTTAATGATTCTTTCTTATATTCACTACTGGAGGGGGTGTCCCTCAGCCCAGCTTTTACCCTCTCCCATCTGGGACCCCAAAGGGGATGTCCAACTGCCGGTTTAGGCCTGATCCCACAGGGAAGTGGACATCCCTCTCATAATCCATGATCGCTGGCTCTCAACCGTTTACCTGCCTGTCTACCTGATTGCCCCTAACCGCTTCTGCCTGCCTGATTGCCCCTCACCTGCCTGCCTGCCTGATTGCCCCTAACCGCTTCTGCCTGCCAGCCTGATTCCCCGTAACCACTCCCCTGCCAGCCTGATCAATGCCTTAATACTCCCCTGCTGGCCCAATCTCCCCCAATGTGCCTCTCCTGCCAGCCTGGTTCCCCCCAACTGCCTTCCCCTGCCAGCCCAATCGCCCCCAACTGTCTTCCTTCCCCTGCAGGCCTGGTCACTACCCACTGCCTTCCCCTGCCTGCCTGGTCACCCCCAACTGCCCTCTTCTGCCAGCCTGGTCACCCCTAACTGCCCTCCCCTGTAGGCCTGGTCCCCCCAACTGTCCTCCCCTGCTGGCCCGATCTCTTCCAACTGCCCTCCCCTGCTGTCTTGGTCACCCCAACTGCCCTCTCCTGCCAGCCTAATTGCCCCTAACTGCCCTTCCCTGCAGGCCTGTTCCCCCTCAACTGCCCTCCCCTACTGGCCTGGTCATGCCTAACTTCCCTCCCCTGCAGGGCTGGTCACCCCTACCTGCTCTCCCCTGCCGGCCAGGTCACCACCAACTGTCCTTCCCTGCAGGCCTAGTCATCCCCAACTGCCCTCCCCTGCCAGCCTGGTCACCCCCAACTGCCCTCTCCTGTAGGCCTGATTGCCCCTAACTACCCTCCCCTGAAGGCCTGGTTGCCCCATCTGCCCTCCCCTGCTGGCCTGATTGCCCACAACTGCCCTTCCCTGCCGGCCATCTTGTGGTGGCCATCTTGTGACCACATGGGGGCGGCCATCTTGTGAGG